CTTTAAGCTTTCATATCCTTTCCACAGCTTCACCGTTCTTGTAATATTTCCTTGTTTTCTGGCATAATAAGATATTATACAGGCTCATCTTTAACTTTCTTACTCCTCTAACTTTTCCTTGGAGGCAGCCATTTCTCTTAAAGGAGGAATGATTCTTCCCACTGGAAAATGGTATTTTGAAGCCAAGATCTGGGCTGTAGGTAAGTTCATATTGTAGCGATAGCACCATTCCTAGTTCCTCTCTATGTATAGACCTACAAAATATGTCTATATGTGTACACACACATATTTGTCTGCTACCTACCTACCTATCTACATCCATCTATCTATGTAGATACTGAAACTAATTTATACCATTACCTCCGATTCTAATCTAATACCATAGGGTTTATTCTAGTATTTGTAACTCCTTTTTGTGACATAGAGAAAGCTATTTCCCATTTTCCTTAATATGTTTTCTTATTTGTTCAATTCCCCTGTGTGTAACCTATGTCCCATGGCCACACCTTCCCCACACTCTGCCCTCTGACTTCCCATGTGGGCTCTCCCTGTGTGTGAGCACTCCTCACTGTCTGCAGGCTCAGGCCTCCCAGGTAGGGCTGCAGGATGTTCCACTTACCCTGCTGATTTATGACTTCCCACACCAGTTCTCCACCTCTGTGGATTCCCTCCTGACACTGCTTAGCTTCTGCCATCCTGTGGCAAGGTGCTCTGTCTCCCCTAGGGTCTTTCTTTGTTCCTGCTTAGACTCTGAGACCTCATGCTGGATTGCTCTTCAGCGGGGGACCCCCTCATCAACCTGATTAGGTTTGGACACCTCCAGGCTAGGCTACCACTCTGGACACTCTTTATCCTGTTTGGGTTCTGGCACATCACTCCTGGCCATCCTTCTGTGGACATGTTCTCTGCACCCCGCACGGGCTATGAATTCCCCATGCCAGACTGCCTCTTTGTGGGTGCACCTTCTTTGCGCTTCTGGGGATCTAAAACCCTATTCTGGGCCACCCTTCTAAATGGATGACCATCATACCCTGCTTTGGGTGTCCCTTTATGTGACTCCCTTTCTGACCTTGCCTCAGGACTGATAAACTGCAGTCCCTTTCTTGCTTTGTAGACACATTCCTTACTCTGCTCAGTTTCTGATTTCTCAGGCCAGGCAAGTCCCCCCTGTTGTGAGGACACGCTCCTCAATATGCTTAGACTCTGATTCTCTGTGCCAAGCTACTCTTTCTCATGTAGGGTTCCAGTAGTCCAGTACCCTGGCTTGGGCCACTGTGTTTCCCCACCACCTTGCCCTGCCCCGCCTAATGGCTTTAGGACTGAATCATTCAGGAAAGGAAGGGAAATAATGAGTTTTTCCTTTTTAATTTTTTGTTAATTTGATAAAGTTCTTGTTTTAGTTTTTATCTTCTTAGTTATTTTATCAATTATACATTACAGATATTTTGTTCTGCACTCATCTTCAATCTGTCTTGCTATATTATGTCCCCAGTAAAGTGTAGGTATTTTAACTTAGTCTTGAGGGCCGGTTAGCTTGTTATGCCTTAATTTTACTGAGGGCTGTCTATGGTTTTGTTGCTAATTACTTTATTTGAATAACTTAACTATTATTTGCTATATTCTATTTGGGGGCCTGTATTTATCTGATCTTGCATCATATATGCTTTTATATTTGTTAAGTTCTGGTCAGCCAGTGCACCTGTAAAGACAGTGCTCATGGGATTTCCTTCTTGACCATTCTCAGCTTAAATACAGCGGAATGTTTTGTTTAAACTTACACAAAGCAGTTTGTGCTCTGCCAACATTTTCTAAGCTGTACATAGATCTTTCCCACTCCCTTTAGTAATATAAACCATCATTGCAAGGAAGATTATTTCAGGAGAAGTATATTTTATATCAGTTGCATAACAGACTTTGGAGTTATTGGAAGGTCTAATTACATAGTCTTTGAAACATTTAAGACCAGTATCAATCTTAGCAGTTGTGTTTTTTTATAAGCAGTTTCAGTGATAACTGGCATTCCTCCTCTTTTTCCCCCACATTTTGAATCGAATTAACTTTAACAGTTACAGTAATTATTAATTTGTCACCCTTTGCGTGGAAATCTTTGTGGCCACAGAAATATAGAGGCTTCTAGTTAACAAATCTAAGGTAGAGTGTATATTTGTATAGAATTTTGTTTTAATGTGTAGAAACATTAAAACAGGGGTGGTAACCTGTTTCTCATTCGTTTTCAAAATCGGCAATTATAGATGGAGTTTAAAGTGATCTCTATACCCTTGCCAAAAAAAGAGAAAACTGGGCATATCTTGAATAAGAAATATAGATTTAAAAATATGCTTTATCTAAATAACCAGTGATTAAACATTTTAATCTAGTTACTATGCTTTCAAAAATAATTCACTAACTAGATTTTATAAAGTATATTCTTTGTTGTTATTCACCAGAGATTTCATATTTAAATAGGAGATCTGTTTTACATGTTTGGTGTACTAAGTACAAAGATTCATCTGCCTCATCTTTAGGGGCACCATTGTAATGACAGGCAGATAATAAACTCTCTAAAATTTACTTGCTAGGCTTTTTTACTGTGCCAGCTGTAAGAACAGCTGATGCCCAGGGGGGATTAAAATGCCTTTGAACCAATTGTCAAAGCATGGCTTCCCCAGAGGTAATCCTATTAAGGGGTCAAGCCCACACACATGGATATTTTAGTATCCTGTCACCAGGTGACTTCCTGCAATTGGTTAATTTTAAAGGAGATGTGCTAATTGTTTTACTCAGTCTCCACAACAACCCAATAAAATAGACGTTGTTATTCCTGTTTTAGAGATGAGGAAACTGAGACTGATGAAAGTTAAATAATTTACCTATAGTCTCACAGCTACAGAGTAGCCTATCGAGTTAGAACTTGGATCTAAATCTTAACCGTATGGCTTGCTGTACTGTTTTCCCACATTGATGTGTCCCGGATTGCCCCCATGCAGTCAGCATTTGCTGTTTTAGAATGGAATCTGGTCATCTTCTAAAGGAAGCTTATTCTCTGATTTTAACCATAGCAGAAATTCCTTAATTGTAGGGCCTCTCTTGGAGACGTTTAGTGATTAACTAGAAAAAAGTTATTGTCATTTTTAATAAGACTCACCATTTAATTTTGACCAGTTTTATTAAAATGAAACCGTAAAAATATGAGGTGTGATCAAACAATACAGTGAATATGTAAATAAAAAAATATTAAAAGCCATTAATCCCCCTCGAAATACTCCCCCTCGCTTTAAACACACTTACCCCATCATTCTTGTCACTTTCTGAAGCAGTTCTGGAAGTCCTTTTTTGTCAGTGTCTTTAGTTGCACTTTCATGGCTGTCTTATGTCCTGAATCATTTTGACTTTGGGGAAGAGCCAGAAGTCTCATGGTACCAGATCGGGTGAATAAGGTGGATGAGGACACACTGTAATGTTTTTATTTTACAGAAATTGCTGTATCAGAAGTGATGTGTGACACGGAGCATTGTTATGATGGAGGTGAAACCGTTTGCCCACATCATGTTAATGTGTTTTTGTGATCCATGATTGAAGGCACAGTATAAAACACACCTTCTCTCAAACGTAGCTCACACCTGACTGACTGCACCAAACAAGTTGAAACTTGTCACACACTGTTACTAAGTTTTGATGTGCTGCTTCCCGTGCCTTTCTGTTGGATGTCACTAAGCAGCAGCATTCACTGTATTTCTGGATCATAATGAAAAGCTCTGTGTCACACGTTACTTCTGGTATATGGCAATTTTTGTCAAATAAAAACATTATAGTGTGTTCTCATCCAACTTATTTACCAGAACTGACACTGTGCGACTTTTGGCTCTTCCCCCAAATCAAAATGACCATGAAAGGTAAACGTTTTGGATCGATTCAGGACATCGAGGCAGCCACAACAGCGCAACTAGACACTCATGAAAGAGGACTTCCAGAACTGCTTCAGAAA